GGTGGGTAGTTGAGGTTTATAAATGCTTGGTAGAGATCCTGAAGTTTCTGGTCTCTGTCAGGGGGATTAGAGCAGATTCGGTTGTATTGAAGGGCTTGGCTATAGACAATGGATCGTATGGTGTGTTCTGGATGGGAGCTGGAGGCATGTAGGTAACTGTATGAGTCGGTGGGTTTTCTGCAGAGAGTGGTGTCTAATTTTACATTGGTGATTTGTACTGTGGTGTCCAGGAAATGGATTTCTCGTGTAGAATGGTCCAGGCTGAGATTGATGGTGTAGGTTGTTAAAATCTCTGTGGAATGTCTCCAGTGTTTCTTGGCCATGCATCCAGATCATAAAGATGTGATCGATGTAGCATAAGTAGAGAAGGGGCAAAAGGGGACAGGAGTTGAGGAAATGTTGTTCTAGGTCAGCCATAAAAATATTAGCATACTGTGGGGCCATGTGTGTAGCCATGGCTGTGCCGCTGATCTGGAGGTATAAGTTGTTCTCAAATTGGAAATAATTGTGCGTGAGAACAAAGTTACATTAGTCTGCTATCAGTTTGGCAGTGGTGTCCTCTGGGATAGTGTTTCTAATTGCTTGTAATCCGTCTTCATGTGGGATGTTGGTGTATAGAGCCTCTACCTCCATGGTGGCAGGATGGTGTTATCGGGGAGGTTATCGATGTTTTGTAGTTTCCTTAGGAAGTCAGTAGTATCTCGGAGATAGCTGGGGGTTTTGGTTGCGTAGGTTTTGAGAAGAGAGTCTACATTGCTGGATAAACCAGTAGTGAGCGTGCCAATACCAGAGATGATGGGACGTGGGGGGTGTCCAGGTTTATGGATTTTGGGAAGCAGATAGAACAATCCTGGTTGGGGGTCAAAAGGTGTTTCTGTGTGGATTTGTTCCCGAGTAGCTGTAGGGAGGCTTTTAAGGAGACAGTGTAGTTTCTTTTGGTATTCCGAGGTGGGATCAGAGGAGAGAGGTTTGTAAAATAAGGTGTTGGAGAGTTGTCTGGTTGCCTCCTGGTTATAGTCGGCCTTATTCTTAATGTTAGAGTGGAGAGGCTGAGGGGGTGGCTGGTTCTGGGGGAGGGCAGGGGCACTGGTTAGAGCAGGGAACTGGGTGCTAGAATTTCTGGCATCTTTCCTTCCCTGTAGGTGGGCAGTGGGTCTGTTGGTTAGATTTGGGGGTTCCAGTCTCAGCTCTGTGAGGACTGTGGGAGCTGGTGCTTGGTGGGGCGGGCAGGGGAAAGGAAGGGATTCTGGGAAGCAGGATTCCTGGGTTCCTTTTCTAGCCATGCCACTTCTCCTCTTGGTGCTTCTAACTTCATGCCCCAGGATGGACCTCAGCCAGCAGCCTTCCTGGCACCCCACTCTATCCTCCTGGCCCCACTGCAGCCCAGGCTGCTGGCTGATTGGCGGTGCATGCCTCGGAGTGGTGCGTCGGGGAAGCGGGAGCCTGGCACATGGCATCCCCTCACAGCATGACAGCCAGTGGGGGCAGTGGCAGTAGCAAGACGGTGGCCAGAGCCCTGAGTTTGGCATGCATGGAGACGAGTTTGCTAGCTCCCGAGTCCAGCCTTTTGTGCAAGTGCAGCAGCTGCCTCTGCAACAGCACTGGCAAGCAGTAGGTGTCCTCTTTTTTGAAAGTTCAAATATGGTAACCCTAACTTATGGGCAGTTTATGGGCATCAAGCAACATAGACATGAGCAAGGGGCAGACCAGCCAACTATTAAAATTTGAAAGGGCGTATTACTGAGAGGCAGAAGTCAAATAATCTTTCAGCAACTCTATTTCTGTTAGAACTTCTGTTCTGAAACTTGTTCAGAATTAAAAGAAAACACCAGGGCTACATCTATACTGCGCTCTCTTGCGCAAGAAAATATGCAGATGAGGCGAAGTGGTGAATATCGCCACACCTCATTTGCATACTTAATGAGCCACCATTTTTGTGCAAGGGGTTTTTGCACAAAAAGGAACCATCTACACTGCAAGAGCCATTCTGCCACTTTTCTTCAGGCAGAACGGCTCTTGCGCAAAAACCCCTTGCGCAAAAATTGCAGCTCATTAAGTATGCAAATGAGGTGTGGCGATATTCACCACTTCGCCTCATCTGCATATTTTCTTGCGCAAGAGAGCGCAGTCTAGACATAGTCAATGGCAACATTATATAAAAGCAAAATAATTTAGGAAATGCAGTGCCTGCTTTCGTAATTAGATGGTATTAATGATGTGGTCCAATCTCTCTGACAGCAACAAACGTGCTGAGCTCCCTCTTTCGGTCTTGAATTCACTCTGGCGAGGGCCTTTACAAGAAGGGAGTGATTCTGTGTCCAATGGTAATTTTTCAAAAACTGAAAAAGCCAAGAGAAAAACCACCAGTGTATTTCTGTGGTGAGGTACTACAACAGAGGTGGGCAATAATTTTAGAAGGGGGGGGCCACTTATCAAGTTTTTGAAGTGGCCCTGGGCCACCCTGGAAGAGCCTCAGATAGAAGGGGCAGGGCTAGGACACTTCCGTGCTCCTCTGCCTACAGACCTTGATTGGCCTGAAGGTGGGGGATAGGGTTACCAGGTAGACCCCCCCAAAATACCAGACACACTTGATCGTGGGGAGGACCAGCCAGGAGGGGGCCGGGGCTGGCCAGGAGGAAGGGAGGTGGGAGGCAGGGCTGGAGGAGGGGGAGGTCAGGGGCTGCAGGGCTGGG